GATGGTGATGACGATGATAATGGCGATGATGATGAAAAACTTCATTTTATAAATTAGTAAAAAGTCTGGTCTCACTGATTTCGATGATGATAATGATATGATGGTGATGAACAAGATATTTGATGGACCGACCGGCCAACGGGTTGATAAAAATAAATATGATCTCTTAACGCTTTTTGCTATATTGTGTCTGTTCATCCTCGACTCTTAGCAYTCGTAGCTGTTTCAAGTTGTTCACCGCGAGCGAAAATCTCATTTAAGTTTGACAACGCTTTCAAGAACTGATCTATTAGCAACAGCTTAGCCACGTAAATTAAGCGCACGTACCTCAAAGTAATTTGTTTGTCCGGCTTTAATCACCGAAAACAATGCTTTTTCCTTTAGACTCTTTTGATGAGCAATCTAGGTTTCATTTATCTTCGCCACTTAATGAAATTGGGGTTTGAATACAGCTTTTATCGTATAGAAAGTCGATAAATTACGTTGATTGTGTCAAAGCAACTGTAGAGGGATTTGAGTTTTATGGCTTAGACTGACGTCAAGCACATGTTGAACTTATATTTAACGATGAAAGAAAACATCACGCWCACAAATCTGAGCTGTAAACTCAATCATTTTTAACAATATTTTAAAGAATTCATTTGGTACATGTTTCCTTTTACCTCAAAAATTAAAAAGCGATTTTTTTCGAGCAGATTGATTTTTCGAGTAAATGCAGCAGTAGAGTGCACGCACTAAACCAGTGCACAATAATTAGTACTAGTTAGTGCCATTTCATACACWATCCTTTGTTTTCAGATATTGTTTAGTTATCACTATTTAGTGCTAAATATCAGTATAGCACTCTAACTTATTGAAATCAATGTTAAAGGTTTTAGAGGGATTACGGATTACTGGACACTCAAAACCTGAGTATGTGAGTCTAAGAGTTTAATAGTTCTCTCCCTTGATTCTAGGGTTTTTCTCGGGGTGCTCCAGTTGATGCTACAGGATGAGGATGAGGATGAGGATGAGGATGAGGATGAGGATGAGG